AGATGGTCAGACTTCTTCGTCAAGACCCTAAATGATCAGTTTGAGGCTCTGCATGTTCCTAGAACGAACAGATACCATTGGGCTACGCTAGCACGCAACCGGGATGAATGGAGACGTTACTGGCACCCGCTCGAATAAATCGATGAATAACGGGGATTAAGTGATTAAGTGATTAAGTGATACACTTAATTAATTTATACGCTTGATTAATTGATAGGAGCATATCACTTGTTGACTATGAAATTTATTTAAATGCATCGTGAAAAACTTCTTTCCTTGCATGCAGCCAACCTTGACTCAATGCCTGGCACCACATATGGTTCCCTAAGCCTAGTGTGAAATAAGCCCTGAGAACATTGGGTCTGCCACATCTATCTAAAACAGAAAGAAAGAAAAGGAAAAGAAATTAATTACTTGGGGAAGAGACTACAGGGCATAAATCAAGATGCCTTGCATGCTTCTGATCCAAATTCAATCTCCAATACAACACGTTCCGCTGAGCATCTCTGGACATAATCCTAGAGGATACTACTGGCACAAACCAGGTAATTCCTGGTACCTCAGGGCCATAACAACACTACATCCATGGCCCTTGCATTACCCAATAGTTCAGTTGACTGAGAATTTTCAGAGGTGACTCTTTGCCTTCCTGAGTACCACTTGGGAGCTCTGCCCTCCCCCCCCCCCGAAAAAATTAATCACTTGAATTTTTTGCTCCGGTGCTTATATATCGATCATTAGAGACTGTGATTACCTCCCTTAAGCTTTTTTCCCTAAGAGTGTACTCATTATCAAGTTTTGTTCTACACCAACATATCCCAGCCAAGAGCCGTAGAGTCGCCTGAGAGTTCCAAGGAGGCCACACCACCACTGAAATATGTAAATGGGGAGCCATAGAATGAGACTAGGGGTGGCCATTGAGAGGACATTGGAGACTACAATAAGCAAGATTAGAAGGGAGCCATGGTCAGAAATTGAGGAAAACTCTTCCAGAAAGTTTTATAAATTTCTTACCCTGGTAAACACTTTTGAATATTTCAATGTAGGGGCTGGAGCGATAGCACAGCGGGTAGGGCATTTGCGTTATAAGCGGACAACTGGCCAACCCGAGTTCGATTCCTCTACCCCTCTCAGAGAGCCCGGCAAACTACCAAGAGTATCTCGCCCGCACAGCAAAGCCTGGCAAGCTACCCGCGACATATTCAGTATGCCAAACACAGCAGCAACAAGTCTCATGATGGAGACGTTACTGGGCCCACTTGAGCAAATCGATGAACAACGGGAGGACCGTGACCTAATGTAGAACAACTAATTCTTTCACTAGTAGTCAGATTCTATCCAATTTAATCCTTGGTAACTTTACGTTGTCCAGACATTCGAAGTTTGTCTGTGGATACACTTGATATCAATGTTCTCTTCCCTGATATTTACAATCTTATCTTTCTCTCCTAAAAAGCTATTCCTCTTAAATTCACGTTGACGATGGTCAGGGTGCTTCAATGCATATATGAGCCACAAATGTGCAAAACTTTGTGTGAAAGACTTTGTGTGAAAACTTTGTGTGAAAACATTGTGTGAAAGATGCTGATGTGTATGTATATCACCTTATCATATAATTTTAGAGAGAACTAGCTGAGACTCATACAATCAAAATTAAAGCACAATGTTGAACTCATGAAATATTAGTAGAAGGAAGAAGAAATAAGAAAATATTTCCTTTTTCTTTAATTTAGTAAAGAATTTAGTAAAGTATTGTTAGTCAGCTGGAGCGATAGCACAGCGAGTAGGGCATTTGCCTTGCATGCAGCCGATGTGGCCGACCCGGGTTCAATTCCTCCGCCCCTCTCAGACAGTCTGACAAGCTACCGAGAGTATCTCGCCCACACGGCAAAGCCTGGCAAGCTACCCGTGATGTATTTGATATGCCAAACACAGTAACAAGTCTCACAATGGAGACATTACTGGGCCTGCTCAAGGAAATCGATGAACAACGTGAGGACAGTTGTTATTTTAATGGGTTTAATTTGTTTGATCTTTAACTAACCAGTATCATTACCTCTAGGTGCAGATAATATTGCTGTCTCCTACACCACCACCTCCTCTACCTCTAGAAGCCATGAACGCTGCCACCCAGTTAAAATTTTACTCTAGCTTTGCTGCCCAATTAAAAAATCAGATTTCCTTGAGCTCACAGATTCATAAGCAGCTGTGCAACACCTCAAAACTCTACAACACTGATAATCCAGCAGTAGCATACCAAATTAAATGGGATGCAACGTAGAAGACAACCAATACTGACTGACAAAAACATGAACCCAGAAGACGTAACTTGTAACAGTATTTTAGTAATCCCTTGCGCATGAACTTGCTGTCTCCAGGGTGAGATCAATTTTACACAAGTTTTCTTCTAAAGATATATATTTTTAACCATTCCACTAGAAATTTAATGGTAACAAACAGTACAAAATAGGTTATTGTGGGCTACTATGGGAGCAGGCTTGAGGGGTATTTGGTAAAATTGGAGAGAATGGTGGAGTGAAGGTGACAGTGGTGGTAGGATTGGTTTTGGGATATTGAATGCTTAAATAAATGATCCCAAACTACTTTGTAAACCACAGTGTTTAAATAAAGTGTAGGGGGGAAAAGATAAAACAAGAACTTACATGCAAGCATAGCATCATACGAATTATAAGAGATTTATAAAATGAAACATTATACACAAGAAGAAAATAGAATGAACGTCAAATGCCCAAGCAAAAAACCTAAAACCAAGAATCCTCTTCTTTGAAAGTATCTGATTTATATTTGAAGGGATGATTATAAAAATTATCAAACTACAGTTGAGAATGTTTTTTAGATATAAAAATTTTCTGCAAGAAATGCTGAATGTCCATCTATAAAAATCAATAGCCAAAATGCACGAAAATAAAATTCTTCATAGGCGACTAGTTCATTCCTTCATATCAGTAATTTCTCTTAATGGGAGTAGACTAAACTCCTATCATAAGGCAGAGGGAATGGATGGATCAGGAAACATAATACAGTAGTCTGCTTCTTACAAGACACACACTGGAAATCTGATAATAAAAGGAGAATTAAAATGAAAGGTCAGTAAATTTGTAAAAGAAAATGGTAGGCTTAATAAAGCAGTGAAGTTTATACTTGAGGCAGACCAGAAAGTGTTCAAGTAAAGAAAGTAATGCCAGAAATAAACATAATACACAAGTTAATGGATGAATAAGACAATAGGACTTAAAAATTATCAATGTGTTGATATCCATGGCCAGGAAAAACAGGGGTAAGGGGACTGATCAATGGTTGGAACTAACCACAGGCGTGTGGGGGGCTGAGGTTAGGTAAGTTAGAGAAGAGACCAGTCTGACAGTAAAAACTTGGAATGATCAATCAGGACAAGATCTGAGTGTTAAAAGGAAAGAGAGAGAAAGAGAGAGACAGAGAGAGAGAGTAAAAGCATATGCTATAGAGGCAGGCTGGGGGGTCAGGTTAGGGTGTGGTAGGAGGGAACCTGGAGTCACTGGTGCTGGAAATGTACACTGGTGGAGGGAAGGGTGATGTAATACTGTATGACTGAACTCTGATCATGAACAAACAGCTTTGTAATGGTATATTTCACAGTGATTCAATAAAAATTTTTAAAATTATCAATCTATTGGCACAAAACAAAGGAACAGAGAATTTATAAAACTATACTAGAATGAAGTTATACTAGTAGAATCATGTTATAGATGAATGACAGCATGATACCGCTGTAATCAAAGACCTTAACACCTCATTCTCCTTTAGACAAATAAACCAGAAAGATTATGTGTAAGTAAATAGAAGCTCTACCAGAGGCACTAAAAGACTTGAGACTAATGGACATACATAGAACTCTCCATCTCTTAAAGCCAAGTATGCATTCTTCTCAGCGACCATGGGATATTCTCCAAATAAAGCACAATGATATAAATAAACTAGAAGAGAAAATAAACCCAAAAAATTTAAAAAGTAGGACTAGAGTCAGCTATAAATGAAAATGTAGAAGAAGAAACTTTAACTGAATTAAAAGATAGTCCAGGCAGTCTACAGAGTTGAAGAAATATATGCATACCATATATTAGATCAAATGCTATAATCAAAGCTTTATGAAGATCTCATAAAACTCAACAGCAAATAAAAAGTTTTCAAAATTACAAAACTTTGGCGAGAGAAAATAAAATAATGTGTCCAAAAGAGAGTATGTGAACGGTAGGTAATGTGAAAAATGTTAGCTTTCTGTTACTTCACGAAAAAAATTACAATGAGAGATAATCTGATGCCAGTGAGATTGGTATATATTAAAAAGGTGGACGATAATGTTGGCAGAGATGTTGTGGAAAATGACCTCTCTTGCACTGCTAGTGAAAACATTCTCTAGTATATTCTCAAAGGTGAATGATTTGGAGGTTTCCAAAAAGAAAAGGAAAATATGAGCCTCAAACTTGCTGTTCCTCTCTCTGAGCAATAGGCCCCATCTGCTATAGGAGTCTGCCTTCATGAAGTTTCTCTTTGTCTCAGGTTGGATCTTACTTGGGGGATTCCAGAACAAATATCTAGGTCCCAAACAGTACAGCAGCAAAGAGCAACGAAGAGGTCCCACAATGTATAAAACAATTTGCTGGGGGATTGAAAATCAATCCCTATTTTTTTTTCAGGGAGGGATATCTATGAAGTCAGAAAGAGAGAAAACCCTAGATATTTCTCACAAATAATTCTTCCCCACTGATGGCTCAAAGGGCACAACACAAAAAAGCATACCATTTTAAATGAAAATATTTATTGCTATTCATTTGGGCGTTGAAAATGAAAAATGCTCGCAGTGAGACAGGGGAGGAGGCGGAGGGAATGTGGTGTCCAGGGATGAGAGCAGGTGGAGATTTCCTTCCAGGCTCCATATTAAGACTGGAAGAACATCCTCGAGGAGCTGCATGTGGATTGACCCTGTAGATTTCCGACCAGATTTAGCCCTCAAACTTGCAGACGTAGGGCAGTACATTTCTACAGTCAAAATTTTGCCATATTTCGTACCCTAAAGAAACAAGAAGAAGAGAAATGAGTGGAATGCTTAAAGCTGTGAACCTGAGAGAGAGTCATCACAGACAGGGGCATAGTGCCTCCCTTGTTCTGTGTATCATGATCCTGCTCCAAGGAAAAGAGGCTCAGTAGAAAGAGATCTGAGAGAGGCCCGGAAAGGGCAAATGAGTCAGGAGTTGGAATTTACCCTTCTCCAAAAGGTCAGGCTTAGAAACTAGTTTTGGGGATATGTCAGAAATGGAACAGATATAAACATATAAACTTGTTTGTTCTTACCTGTGTAGTGAAGAACGGCTCCACAGTACCCGGAATTGGAAGGGACTCCGTTCTCCCAGGCCTGATAGTTCAGCAGATCACCATTACTCCACTCCCATCCACCTGCATTGGGTTGAGTCTGTGAAGACAGGACAGACGGACAGATGATTCTCAGACGCACCTGGGATGCTCTGGCAGCATGTGCACTGGAATCCCTGAGTGACAGCCAGCATCAGAGAATCTGTTTGGCTCTTGGTGGAGATGACCTAGAGAGGAACTTTAAAAATTCTCCCTAAAGCCTTGATCTAGTGGGTAAGATCAAAGTCACCAATACCATTGAGAGTAGCAAGGATTGCTCAGCACAACGTGCTGCAATACAAGCCACGCACCTCTGGGCCTCAAAGGTCCTGTAGATTCTCTAGTGAACAGTGTAGCCACGCTTCATTCATCAACAACTCAGCACATATTAGGAACCATCACTGGCCACAGCACATAACTGACCTAGGAAGCCTTCAGTACACACTGTTTGAAAAGGGGGATTGATATCAGCTAGAGATGAGGCCATGCCACACAACACACAACTTCAGATGGTCTCAGGGCGTCGTTCTCCAGAAGAGCAACTGAATACTCTGGATTTCAGGATGGCCTGATCTAATTATTGGGCAGACTAAGAGAATCGGATGACTCAGGATGGCAAATGGAGCTGTAAAGTTACCCGAGAACAGGAGCCGTAATCTCACCTCTGTGTTGTCCTGGAGTCCAATCCAGACAAGAGAGGGTGCTGTCCCACTGTTCTTGATGAGGGAGCTCACGAAGTAGCCCTCAGACTTAGTGGACACAGACACGAGGTGTCCATTGCGATGTTTCTGGGTTTCTGACTATGAGAGGAAGAACGAGATTGGGAGAAGCATGCATTACACTAGGATTTAAGAAGTGGAGGAAGATAAGCAACAGCGGGTGTACTGTAAATTATGCGTGTCATTCTACCTAGAATGTCCCACTAAAATGGAAGCTCCCGTGAACTCCACTGTCTAAGGCCCCCTCGCCCCTGCACACAGGAATAAACATTGCAGTTTCAAGTACAGCTACTCACTTGAGCCTCCATCCAGGATTTTGCTGTCTTAAAAAAAGCATAACACTGGTTGCCATAGGCCTTGGAGCCTTTGGGGCACCTGACTCTTGGAGACAGCTCTTCATTCTTCAGGTCTTCCCCTGACATAGGAAAATGTAAAGGAGTGATGGAGTGGAAAAGAAGAAGGGGTATTTTTTTGGAAAGGGCAACACGGAGATATGCATGAGGACAGTACTTGGAATAGAGAACCATGACCATCCCTCAGCCTTTCCAACACATTCAGAACGCTTTCAAGTGTCAACAGAAACATACAATGAGGAATCATCTATTTCACTATTTCACTTGGACTTTATGAAATGCACAAACTGTGCTCTCGGATCTGTGTATCGCACGACACAGGGGCTGGATGTGGGAGCGCTTACCTTTCACATGGGCTTGGAGCACCAGGCAGGAGAGCACCAGCCAAGGAACAGTGGCCATGGGAGGCAGCATCTTGTCTCACTGGAGGAGGCTGTCAGAGGCAGGGATGAAAGTTGGATGGGTCAGGCAGAAGGCAAGCAGTGAAGCCACTGCTCTATCTCCCTGTTGTATTTGTCTAATTCCCAGATGATCGTTATCTCCCATTATGGTGACAGAACAGATTTGATATTCTGAATATTCTAACCAAGACGCCAATCAGGGTTATCAAGGCTGAGTCTGACAGTGCTTGTGTCCTCTAAGGAGTGGGAAGTTTTCCCCTCCTCCCTCTAGCGTCTTCCATCAGTTCCCACTTACCTTTCTTGCAGGGATTTTTGATAGCCCATAGGTCAGGAGGGACCAGCCTTTTAAAAGATGTTCGGGGGCGGGACACAGCAGTGAAGAATGCAAAGTTACAACCTTGAGGCCGTGCAGGGAAAGACTAGGCAGGGATTCCTGGAGGTTCTTGAGATATGGTGGGAATTGCCACAGGTGTGCCTCTTTCAGATAGCAGAGAAATGTCTTCTCAGGACTCCAAGCACCTATATTTAATCTTTTCACTATGACTAAATGGAAGAGAGTTTTAGCACTATTTTCCTTGTGAGTCTTTTGTTCTTCTCTCCTTTTGTATAACAGTTTCACAGTGTCATATTATGTATGTTTAGAAAATTTTTCTTTCTAAAAATTTTGTTCAGAAAATTTTGTGTCAGTCAGAGAAAAACTCCGTTCATTTATAAGCAATCTACCAGGAATTTTATCACTAAGACAAATATATACAGATATGATTTTATTATAAGTATATTTATAATTTCATATATTATATAAGTGGAAAAGTGAAGAAAAAGGATGATACATTTCTCAACTCAAACACAGGTTTAATTAGTAATAGATTTTAATCAGTCCATATAACCTTATAGAAAATTTTTCAATGAAATGATTTCAAAGACACATGAGTCTGTGATTCTATAGGTGTTTTTAAGTTCAAATATAGTGAAGTAAAAAGAAAATTTGAAAAAGAAAGCAAGTGATAATGTGTAGATATGTTGCTCTAATATTACGTGTAACCTTAAGGAGATTGATATATGGAAGTATATATCAACACCAGCAAAGCCAGATCTTAGGGAACTACAGTTCACTTTCCTCCTAACTACCTTCGTGTCGCTACTTTTACCATTTGTTTGTAATTTAGTTTTCTCTGGGGAAATTTCTCTGGATGATTATTTCATTTAACAATTTTGTTTTCTGTTAGGGCACGGATCGTGATCTCCCTTTAACGACAAAGAGACTCCAGAGACTGCAAACAGCAAGCAAGGTTTATTGTAAGACTGGCTAGCCAGGGTCAAGCCGCCTACACAGACACGCAGGTCAGTTAGGTGAGGCAAGACCCCGAACCTCTTCAAAGGGGATCTTATATAGGCCTTCATTGGCCGTTACAGCAAAGCCCGCGCATTTCATAGCCAATAGATTTGTAACAACATATGCTTTCTTAACCAATCCATGTAGAAGTACATCACTCCTTAGCCTATAGATTCAAAGATCAGCATTTACGTACATAGGCATTGTGACTAGTGGGCATCAGGTAACTTGGACATTTGGTTATCACCTTGCTTCCTCAGATTCTCAGCCCTGCATTCCGGAGGTGGATAAGGGAATAGTTCTTAAGGGAGGTAACAGATAAGGAGGGCAGGAAAGGGAGAGTTACTAATTTATAGAGTTTTAACTCTGGAATCTCCCTCAGGGTCCCTAGGGACCTAACATTTTCAAAATGGGCTAGAGTGATAGCACAGTGGGTAGGGCATTTGCCTTGTACGCAGCCGACCAGGTCGACCCGGGTCGATTCCTCTGCCCCTCTCGGAGAGCCCGGCAAGCTACCAAGAGTATCTCGCCCACACGGCAAAGCCTGGCAAGCTACCCACGATGTATTTGATATGCCAAACACAGTAACAAGTCTCACAGTGGCGACATTCCTGGGCCCGCTCGAGCAAATCGATGAACAACGGGAGGACAGTGACTGTGAGTCTCCCAAATGTGTCTGCTCCAGATCATTGGTTTTGGGAATTGTGATATTCCGGAGGACTGGAGCGATAGCACTGCAGTAGGGCGTTTGCCTTGCACGCAGTCCGCCCGGCCGGGCCAGGTTCGAATCCTCTGCCCCTCTCGGAGAGCCCAGCAAGCTAGCGAGAGTATCTCACCCACACGGCAAAAGCCTGGCAAGCTCCCCATGATGTATTCAATATGCCAAACACAGTAACAACAAGTCTCAAATTGGAGACGTTACTGGGCCCGCTTGAGCAAATGGATGAATAACGGGAGGACAGTGCTAAAGTGCAGAGATTCCAACTGATCCAACGGAGTTCCAGGGACAATATGGCGAAACTCGACAACAGGATAGCACTTCTAATAGCGGGTCCAAGGATGAGGGGACACCCTGGCCCATAAGTGCTAGGTGTGACTAGAATTATTCTGCAGAGACACAGACGTTAAAAGTAACACACAGTGGTCTTTCAGGGGACGGTGTGTTAACAGGGGTGAATGCATGAAAAGTCCTCTCTTTGGTCAACATACTATCATTCCCTTTCAGATTGCATGTGCGCACATGTGCGTGTGTGTGTGTGTGTGTGTGTGTGTATGCCTATGTGTGCATGTGTGTGTGTGTATGTGTGCTGTTTTGAGGGCTACACCAGTGGTACGTGTCTTTTATAGTATTGTTTTGTGCAGGTATTGTCTGATCAAATATCATTTTATTTTAGAATTCATATCATTGTGTGATATAATTAAAGGACTATTTATTAAAAACATGACAAAATTAGAGCACCTACAACACGAACAATTTGCCAATGACACTCTAACACTGTTCTTCTGTCAAATTCACTCTCCCTGTCCTGATATCTAGAAATTTCTCCTCTTCTTAAGGTACCAAAGGAAAAAAGTGATGAAATCTGATTTCATATCTTGTAGGCTATGAGCAAAAATTGATATGTGGGGAAAGTTACAGATGGCAGTAGTCCAGAGGAGGTGTTAATCTGGTACCTGAAAGAGGCTACACCTGTGGCAATTCCCAGCCACTTAGAGGAAGACTCCTCCCCATTTCAGAAATTTACTAGAAACCCTGCCCTGCCTTTCCCTTCTGCCCTGCCTTTGCAAGGTCAGAACTTGGTGTCATTCATTGCAGTGCCCCTCCCTCAGAACATCTTTTAAAAGTCTGGTCGTTCTTGATCTGACACACCACCAAACCTCCCCGGCAAGTAAGGTAAGTGGGATTTGATACGGGATGCTCTACAAGACAGGGCTTAGTCTTGGATTCCAGAGGAAGGGTGAGACACATTCCTGCTCCTGAGAGGACAAAAACGCTGTCAGGCTCAGCAGTGATAAATCGCAGAGGCCTCCTGGGTAGAGTATTCAGAATATCAAGCCTGTTCTGTCACCTTATTAGGAGATACCATTCACCTGGAAATGAGACAAAACAGGGAGATGGAGCAGTGGCCCCTCTGCTTGCCTTCTCCCTGAACCAGTTTTCATCCCTGCCTCTGACAGCCTTCTCCCGTGAGACAAGATGCTGCCTCCCATGACCACTGTTGCTTGGCTGGTGCTCTCCTGCCTGGTGCTCCAAGCCCAGGTAAAAGGTAAGCCTTCCCACATCCAGCCCCTGTGTCTTGGGACACGCAGATCCGAGAGCACAGTTTGGGCATTTCATAAAATCCAAGTGAAATAGTGGAATAGATGATTTCTCATCGAATGTCTCTGGTGACACTTGAAGCATTCTGAATGTGTTGGAAAGCTGAGGGATGGTCATGGTTCACTGTTCCAAGTACCGCCCTCATGAAGTACTTGATGCCTTTTTAAACAAAATTGCACATTCTTCTTTTTACTTTGTCATATCTTTACTTTTCCTATCTCAGGAAAAGCCCTGCAGAATGAAGTGCTTTCTCCAAGAGCCAGGTGCCCCAAAGGCTCCACGGCCTATGGCTACCACTGTTACGCATTGTTTAAGACAGCAAAATCCTGGATGGATGCGCATGTGAGTAGTTGGACTTGCAACTGGAATGTGTATTCGTGTGTGTGTGCAGGGAGGGGGATTAGACAATGGAGTTCAGGGGAGCTTCCATTTTATTGCGACATACTAGGTAGAATGATAATCACAATTTACATTACACCTGCTGTTGCTTATCTTCCTCCACTTCCTCAGTCCTAGTGTAATGCAAGCTTCTCCCAATGTTTTCTTCCTCTCATAGACGGAATGCCAGAAACGTCGCAATGGACACCTCGTGTCTATGTCCACTCAGTCTGAGGGCTACTTCGTGAGCTCCCTCATCAAGAACAGTGGGGCAGCACCCTCTCTTGTCTGGATTGGACTCCATGACAACACAGAGTTGAGATTACAGCTCCTGTTCTCGGGTAACTTTACAGCTCCATTTGCCATCTCGAGTCAGCCGATCTCCTTACTCTGCCCAATAATTAGACCATCCACCCTGAAATCCAGAGTAGTCTGGTGCTCTTCTGGAGAATGAAGCCCTGGGTCCATTTGATGTTTGTGCTGTGTGGTGTGTACTTGTCTCTAGCTGATATCAATCCCTATTTTCAAACAATAAGTACTGAAGTCTTCCTAGTTCAGTTATGTGCTGTGGCCAGTGATGGTGCCGAATAGGTTGTCAAGTGGTTGTTTCTTGATGGGTGGGTATACTGTGCACTACATAATCTACATGCCTTTGAGCCCCAGAGGTGCATGGCCTGGACTGCACCACAGGTTGTGCTAAACAATCCTTGCTACTCTCACTGGTATTGATGGCTTTGACACTTATACACTAGACCAAGTCTTTAGAGAGAATTTTTAGAGAGGAGCCCACAAAGCGCCAAACATTTCTCTTAGGCTGGGTGTAACTCAGAGATTCCAGTGAAGATGATGCCAGAGCATCCCTGGGGCAACTGACACTTAGCTGTCCGTCTGTCCTGTCTTCACAGACTCAACCCAATGCAGGTGGATGGGAGTGGAGTAATGGTGATCTGCTGAACTATCAGGCCTGGGAGAAAGGAGTCCCTACCAATTCCGGGTACTGCGGGGCCGTTCTTAGCCACACAGGTAAGAACGAGACAAGATTCTATGTGCAGATCTGTTCCACTCCTGCCATATCCCCAAAAACAAGTTTCTAAGCCTGACCTTTTAGACAGGGATGAATTTCAAAATTCATGTCTCATTTTCCCTCTCCTAGCCTCTGTCTCTCTTTTCACGGAGGCCCTTTTTCTTGGTGCAGGAGCATGGTTTACAGAAGGTGGGAGGGACTTTGGACCTGTCTGTGATGCCTCTCTCTCACACTTGCAGCTTTCAAAACTCCACTCATTTCTCCTCTCCTTGTCTCTTTAGGCTATGAAAAATGGCAAAATTTTGACTGTAGGAATGTACTGCCTTACATCTGCAAGTTCGAGAGCTAAATCCCGTCAGATATCTACAGACTGAATCCGCAGGAAGCTCCTCGAGGATATTCTTCTGGTCTTAAATACATTCTAGAAGGAAATCTCCACCCATTTTCAACCCTGGACACCCCATACCCTGTACCTCTTCCCTAGTCTCACTGATATCCTTTCTTTTTATGCTTAAAGCCTGATTTGTTAAATAATGATAATAAATACTGATATCCATATGATGTCTTTTGAGTTCTGTTCTCAGACCTTCACTGAGGAAAGACTGTGCCTGAGAGAAATCTAGTTCTTCCTTTATCCACCTTCATCCAGATCCTTAGGAACCTTCATCCAATTGTAAAGCCCCACTGAGGTGATCCAGCAACATACCCCTGCAAAGATTCTTGGCTTAAGTCCTAGATTCAAAAGTCTGACAGGCTGATTCTCACCCTGGAAACCCACTCAGGTCTGCTGTCTCTGCTCACACTGTCAGCTATACCTGGCCACTCCAGACCACTCCCCACCCCCCTTCGACTCGTAGCTCCATTCTGTTGCTCATCTTGATTTTCTCAAGTCTCTTTGCTTCCCACTTCCCAGAATGAACCTATCAATAGGAAGCAGAAACTTCTGCCTAAGCAGCCCAGAGGCACACATGATTGAGACTTGATTGGGATTCCAAGTCTGCGCTCTGCGCGACTCTCACTGGAAACTTCAGTTGTGTCCATCTGAGGACTGGACCTGCATTCAGTTCACTGACTTGCCTACATTGTTTGGTTCCCTGGTAATTTCTTTCACCACCCATGGTGCCGACCTGGGTGGACTTTGGGTCCAACTCTTGTTGCAGTCCCTTCTCCAACCTATGAGTTTGTAAAATCTTTCAGTCCTGTTTATGTAAGCGTAAAGTGCTGAGTTGATACTGCCCTGACATACCCTGTGCTGATGTTAGCACTCATGCATGTTCTGCTCTCTCTGGAGCCTGATATTTAGAGGACAATACCTCTGAACTCATGCTTTCAGTAATAATCCATTTTTTAAAAAAATAATCTATGACAAAATGAGTGTTGCTCAGTGTACCTGAGATCAATCATATGTAGTTTGATCAACCATTGGCACTAGTTTCTGTGTGATGTGAGCACAGTGCCACAGTGCTGCTGTGCTTATAGGTTCTGCGGACAACACTGCGAACCAAGGTGTGCTATGGGGACCAGCAGCATCAAGTGATACTCAGGACATGATACACATTTGTCTCCTATTTGTAGTATCTGATAGTTCAAAATGATGGCATTTATCCTCAATCCTCTGTGTGCCTTGCATTATAATTTTACCCAATCCAGTAAAAGTTGTATCTTGGAATTTTGCTTCCCAGGCAGAATAGTACAAATTCTTGTACTTTTTTGTAATGGAGATACATGTAAATGAACAAATTTTTATGAACAAGTGGACTTGTTTTATGAACAAGTCACCCTCATAGCTGCAGCCACCAGAATATGGAGGGTCCTTCCATCTATGAGTACTTAGAGAGAGAGAGAGAGAGAGAGAGAGAGAGAGAGAGAGAGAGAAAGCTACTTGAGTCTCAAACTGTTGGAAATAGTGAATAGTGTTTTCGTTAGTTTCTTTGGATATACTCACGAAGGAAATAACTTTGGTAGCTATCTCAGTAATGTTCAGCACCTTTAATGTGTTTCTATTTTGTACTCTGTCCAATTCAATTGATGACAAAGTAAATCATCATTTTGAAAACCATCAAACAAAATCTCAAATGCTAACAAGTCTCAACAAAATCCCAACATATAATCTCTTATTGGAAAAGCATTAATGGTTATTAACAGTTGGAATTCTTTTCAACTTAAGAATATGTTGCTATGTTGGAAGAACTGTAGAATTAGAGCCTGAACCTGAATAAGTAAAACTTACTTATTTGGTGTAGAAATCTCATGATTTGAAATAAGTACGGTATAAGAATTATTGAAATTGAGCCAAAAGGGGTTTTCCTTATGCTTCGTAAAAATTTGTTCCAAGATTTAATGCTGCTATATCTTTATCTGTTTCTATATCTACATCTATCTCTACCTATCTATATCTATATGTGTATCAATATCTCTATCTATCTATATAATGTTGTTTGGCTGGAGTGATAGCATAGCGGGTAACTTGTTTGCCTTGCACTTGGCCGACATAGCCGACCCAGGTTCGATTCCTCTGCCCCTCTCGGAGAGCCCAGCAAGCTACCGAGAGTACTCGCCCACACGGCAAAGCCTGGCAAGCTCCTCGTGACATATTCAATATGCCATAAAACAGTAACAACAAGTCTCACAATTTGTTGTGAGACCTTAGTGGTGCCCACTTGAGCAAATCAATGAACAACGGGAGGACAGTGCTACAGGACAGTGCTACATAATGTTCTTGTTGTTGTTTTGTTTGTTTGCAGCGGTATTGCACTGGATTGTTAAAATGAGGGTTGAAATAATTGTGGTGTCTAAAAAACAGGTTCAAACGGTACTGCTTTCGTTCAAAACATGAGTTTCTAGATTTATAAAATTGGTTGCACAACTTAGCCTACCAGTGTTTTATTTGATATGAGGCTTTTGGTAGCTAAAATTTCTAGAGCTAATTAGCAATCTTATGACGGGCTGATTATTACCCGTCATAAGGTTGGCAGAGCCTGGCAAGCTGCCCATGGTGTATTAGATATGCCCAAGACAGTCACAATGATCTTCATTTACCTGACCCTGAAAGAGCTCCCAATACGCCTTGGGGCTACAGGGACGAATTGAGACATTACTGGTACTCTTTCGAGCAAATCTATGAACAACAGGACGACAATGATAAAGTGATACAGTGATCCCCACAAAACAAGTCCAAGAAGATAGCGAGTTTTGAAAGACTATTATTATATTAAATTTATAATGATCATTTTCTTAAATCTTTTCACTCATCTAAATTCACAGCACTGAAGACCAGTAACGTCTCCATTGTGAGACTTATTGTTACTGTTTTTGGCATATTGAATATGCCGTGGGGAGCTTGCCAGGGTCTGCCGTGTGGGCAGAACACTCTCGGTAGCATGCCGGGCTCTCCGAGACTGAGGAAACCGAATCCCGGTCGGCCACCTGCAAAGCCAACGCCCTACCTGCTGTGCTATCTTCCCAGCCCACAACTTGCTAAAATTATCACAAACCTTGGAAAACTACATTTTATTTACTGGTGCCACTCTATCTTATGATGTAGT